CTTCCGGGGTGCCGAGTTGGCGAAGCATGGTTCCGTGTAGGGGAGGCCGGGGAGGTCGAAGACGAGGGAGAGACCTGGGGCGGAGACGTTTACTTGGGAGATTGGACGGATGCCGCGGGCGCCTAGGAAGGTTTCTGCGCTTAGGTTGGAGCCGTAGGCTAGGTAGAGGACTGATGTCTGTTCTGCGGCGACGGCGAGGGCGGTGGGGGTGGAAGATGCATCGTTGCTGGAGGAGTCTGGGGAAGCTGCCGCTGCTGCTGCGAGGCGGGAGGGGGATGTGCGCGGGATGCTCTTGATGGAAGGGAAAGATTTCTCGGACGGGGCGGAGGAGGTTGAGAGGGTGGCGAGGTCTTTTAGGCGGCGGAGGAGGCAGATTGGTTCTTGGGGGAGTGAGGTTGTCATTGTTCCCCGTGCTTTAACGTCGAATTGCGACGGACGAGGTTGAAGGTATTGTAGGAGGCGAAGCCAGGTCGGTCGTTTTTAGTTTCCGTGTTAAGAGGCACTGGCGTTCTTGTGGGGGAATGAGCTCGAGCTCAAGCTCAAGCTATAGATAAGAGGTAAGGTAGCGAGACCGAAAAAGCTGGGATGATGCCAGAAAAGCCCAAGGAGTGATGAAGATGGGATGTTGAAGCGGGAAGGGAAATGCTGAAACTGATGAGTTGCGCCAGGGTACTAGCTGGTTGTGGGTGGGCGCCAGAGACTTTTTGTGTCGCCCCGGGTGTCTCTGACGTTCGGACTTTGGGGGTTTGGATGACGACGCTCTGAGGGAGGTTCCCGGCCTACTAATAAGTGCCTTTATCTTTACGGAGTAGGTACGGATACCTTAGTGTCAAGTAGCATTCGCTGCGGGCGCGCCGGGGGAGCGGCGGACGGAGAATGCGCGCGCGTCGGAGTTGGAAGGTTGGCTTATGTAAACCCCGGGCGGTGGGATGCGGGATTGGCGGGGTTGAGCTGCGGAATCATTTTCAGACAATAACTCGCACCTGTCCACGTCGTGAGCTGATGGGATTTGAAGCTGGTCTAACAAGATGGCATAGGGTATTTTGAAGATACTGTGCAAATGCTCCAATTCCTTACCTGAGATTGGAAATGCCATTGCCCTTGAGTCTACACTACTCTGCAGAGAACGGACCACAATGCCTGTGCTGCGTCATCTGATCCTTTCTTCTTACTTGATAAGTCAACGATATCCCAGAGCTCGAAGAAATAAATGTATAATTTTAACTATCTGGCTATGCTCTCCATGTACCTCATTCGGATCGCACTAAGCATACGTAATTGACCGATGGTGAGTAAGTTGCGTTCTCCCTGACTTGAGCCTCAGCAACTCTTGGATCATCATGTTCGCGAACCTCAACTGCAAAAGTGAAAATCCAAGAGACCAGGAAAACATCACAAACCTCTAGAAAGGTATCATAAATGGGCTTCACCCATGTTTACATATTGTCTCCACGACACTGGAAGATTATCCCATACGTGATGTGGGGAGCTTGTGGGACGTCTATAGACAACCAATTGAAACAAGTTGGTGACATATCTCTTGTCCTCCAGGCTTGGATACAACTCGAGGACATCACTTCCAGTGGGCGACCCACAACGTTGCCTGCAAAAACGATATTCTGGTCTTGGTATCACTGTTTGATTCTTTTTTTATTTCTTTATTGTTTGATATGTGGCTACCCGCTGATCGCGAATCTAAACCACTATTTTTGATCCTACTCGATGCTCGCAGGGAATCGCTATCATAACTTGGTCATTGCTATTCAGAACCTTCGCTCGGGGTCAAGAAGGTTTCGAAAGTCGGTAACGAGCATCATATCGTTGCCTTCATCATCATTGCTTTCGACTTTAATCTGGTCCATAGCATTCTCATCTCCGTCCTCTGTCGCGGGTGCAGCCTTAGCCGCAGCCAGGACCCCATTACCATTGACGTTACTGTGATCGCCATGGCCCCTGACAAGTTCGTCCTCGCCCTCAACCGCCCGCGACACGGATGAGTACTTCTTCGGCACGAGGTACTTATCCATGGCGCCTGCCTGCACGTTCCTTTTTGGCGTGGTGCCCTTTTCAAAGTAGAACCTCTGAATCACGTGCTGCGGGATGTTGGACTCTGGCTCCCAGGTCGGGTTCATGGAGGAGGGCCAGTTGCCCTTCCACCGGACCTGGAAGAAGCGGCCTAGTTTCTTGCCGCTGCGGCGGGAGACGCGGTCTTCGAAGCCTTCGATGCGGAGGACTTCGTAGACTTGTTCGTCTTCGTCTTCTTCTTCGTCATCATCTTGAGTTGCTGTTGACGCTGCTGCCGTTCCGGTTTTCCGCGCGGTGTGAAGTTTGGTTGTGGTGGGTTTGGAGTTTGTAGCTGCGGTTTTGCTGCCTCCTGTTGTTGCGGGAGGTGCTGAGGCGGTTTGTGGTAGGGCTGCTTGTTGTGGTTCTCGTAAGGTTGGTGCGATGTGTGGTTTTGGGCCCGGTATCTTGGGTAGTGGTATAGGCGTCGTAGAGATGGGTTGTTCTATTGACTGAAGTGGCTGCGAGGGCGTCAGTTGGGAGTAGGAGGACGAGGACTTTGAGGCTGCGAGTGAGATTGTCCAAGGGGTGGTATTTGATATCAAAGGCGTGGAGCCGGGCTTGGGTATTGGTGTGTGATTCCAGCCTGCATTTGTGCCTGTCCCGTTCTGTGTCGGGTTCAGCGCGAAGGGCGCCGTGGCTGGCGGGGGAAGCATACTGCTCGCTTTTGGTGTAGGTGTTTGCACCTTTGGTGAGGACGATTGTTGAGGCGTGGAAGGGGGATCTCGTATTGAGAGGAGGGACCGCTTCGGCGGTTGCTGCGTCTTTGCTACCCGCGGAGCCGTGGGCGTGGATGTGTGGTTCGCAGAGGCCGGGGGTATCGGCGGGAAGATGGGCGTCTCCCGAGGCCGGCCACTACTACCCTGGAGACCCGGCGCTGGCGGTTGTGGTAGCGGCGGCAGGGCCGGTGAGCTGGTGGCGCCTCTGGACGAGTCGAAAGGCGTGCTCCGGCTGCTGGTGTCCGTCTCGATTCCCGGCATGAACCGCGAGAAGGCCGGTCTCGGTGACCGGATCCTCTGCTTCTTGCTTGGGGGTTCTAGGCCCGCGGGTAGACTGCTCTGTTCGCCAGAGTCGTATGAGTCCTCCGTCAGAATCAAAGGTGTTGTTGTCCCGGTCCCATTTAGCTGCCTGAAGATGGCCTCGTCGTCGGCCTCGTCATCGGCCACTTCTTCCATCTCGACGTCCGCGTCGCCTTCCGTGTCGAGCTCCCTGAAGTCGTCCACCAAGGCGCTCTTGGACGGCGTAGAAAGCGAAGGCGCATTCTTCCTCGGCCTGCCCCGTTTCTTCTTCTCTCCGTCCGCGGTCGTGGCGGGTGGTGGTGTCCTCAACTCCGCCGCCACATGCTTCCTCTTCCGGCCCCTCTTCGCCCCCTTTCCACCCTTCTCGCCTGGTATCGCGACGCCCCTCTCCCTCGCCACAGCCTCCTCAACAGCGCGCACATTCTCCGCCTCCTCCAGCCGGCGCTCCTCCTCATCCCGCTCCTCAGCTCTTGCAGCGCACCACTCCTCGTATGCCATGGGCGAGACGTAGTCGCATATCTGCTCGGCATCGATCACGACCCGCGCGGCCGGCAGATCGGTCCATCCTACCACGTACTGAAGACGCTTCTTACCGTCGTCAGAGAGCGCGGGCGGGACGAAAAACTCGTCGCGAATGTAGGCCGTCGAGTCGCGCGGCGGAGCGAGGGTTATCGGTCGCAGAGGGGGTCCGGAGCCGCGTTTATAGCGGCGGTAGGTCGGGAGGTCTTCGAGGACCACGGCGAGCCTGCGCGGCTCGGGTTCGGGGTTCTTTCGGGGCGGTTGGGGTTGCCGGGTCGGTAGTGAGGATGCGGAAGATGTGGTGGTAGTGTTGGTCGTGGCGGCGCCGTTGCTGGCGTTGGCCGGGGTGGGGGGTTGACCACCGAACCAGACGAGTTTCTTTGAAGGTCGCGACATGGTTTTCTTGCTCCTTTCGGAGAAGTCCACCATGCCACGCCTGACGCCTTTTTTGTGATTCCGTTGGACGAAACGGTGCAGCGGCAGGTCGGAGAAGGCTTCGGTAGGATCGTCCGTCGTCTAAAGCAGGTATCTGTGGTTTGGGAATCGGCGTTCGTGTTCGTCTCGTGTCGTGTCGCGGTTTCCGCCAGTAAAGACAACGCTTTTGTTCTCGACAACGCCGCTGGCTAGAGGCGTCAGAAAAAATACGACAGCAATTGAAGAATATCATTCGTATCACGAAATTTCGTACCTGATTTCTGCGCGTGGTTTGCCGATACCTGCGCTGTGTTTCGTGGCAGTGGCGCCGGTTGGGCGGGAGAGGTAGGAAACTTAGAAGTACTTTAATTAGCTTATTCTCCACCAGCATGGCCACTACAAATCCCAATACTCATCAGAATTTAAATAGTTAGCAGTAGTATATTAGAATATATTTGATTTCATTATAAACTTCTTTAAGTATTGAAAATCACGTAGTGTTTAATATTATTTTTCTGGTTTATTTTCTAGAAACAAAACAAAAAGATTACTTCTCAAATAGCTTGCTTAATTCTGTTAAACTAATATTTATCTTTAATATAACAAATCCTACTACCTTATACAACACCTTTAGGTAGTAATTAGCTGAGCGTGATGCTGTATTACCTAAGGCACCGAGTACCCTTGGAATTCAGGATCATGCGATCCGGGGAAGCAGGTGCTGCAAAAGGGTCCGTGCAGAAGCTGCGGCTGGGCGTCTACCGGCGCGCTGCGCAGGGCGTCAAATCTTTGGTGGGCCGAGCTTGACCTCATCGCGAGGAGCACAAAGCTCCATCCACCATATCCCAGCTTCGGTTTCCATTTCTTTCTTCGCAAACCAAAGCCAAACCACCAAAAGAAAATCTCCCCTCCACCCACGCGCACCGCAACGTCGATGCCCACGACAACCCGAAACTAATCAACACTCTTCGCCAAGGCCTCGCAAATATGCTGACGCCCACGAGCACCTTCGCCATCCGCCTCGCCGGCCAGGGCGCTGCCCGCGCATCGATTGCCTCTTCCATCGCCCGCACCACCGCATGCCCGTACTCGACCGCCTCCATGAAGCAGCACCAAGCCTCTGCCCGCCCAATTGGTCTCGCCTCGACAGCCGGCCCCATCGCCCGAACCAGCGCCGCCTTTGCCGCATCCCCCTCGTCCTCCATCGTCGCCCGCGTCGTCCGCCAGCCCTGCTCCCAACGCTGCAACGCTACCGCTACCGCCTCCGCTGCGGCGCAACAAAAGTCCGCCCCTTCGCCGGGGGACAGGTTGGACTGGGAGACCTTCTTCCAGCTGCGCAAGTCCCGTAGAAGGTGGCAGCTTGGCTTCAGCGTCATTTCTGGATTGGGATCCTTTGTTGGCGGTGCTGGCATCTTGGCTACTGGTATTGCGGACCCGTTGGTGACACAGATTCCGCTGGATCCTTTCATTACGATGGGCCTTATGACGATGGGCTTCGGTGCTCTTGGATGGCTTATTGGACCTAGCGTTGGTTCTCTGGTGTTCTACACGCTGAACAAGAGGTGGAAGACTCAGATGACGGTGGTAGGTTGCCCTCTTCTACGTTCCGGAGGACAAGGACTTTTTCTAATCTGGATTACTGCTGCAGAAGGAGAAGGAATTCTTCGCCCGCATCAAGAAGAACCGTGTTGACCCCTCTGTCTCCTCTGTTGGTAACCCTGGTAAGTACACTCCCCATCAATATGCCACGCTCTCACGTGCTGATCTCTACTAGTCCCCGATTTCTACGGCGAGAAAATCTCAAGCGTCAAGGGCTACCGTCAATGGCTCAAGGACCAGCGAGCCTTCAACAAGAAGCGTGTCAGCTTCGTGTAGAGTACCACCCAACGACCACCCAGCACGGCTCTCTGCCAAGAACAGTTTCTTTAGGATTAATCAGGATCATGGCTAGCGGGCGAAGGCAGCCCTCCTCTCTTTGTAGCAATAGGGGTATCGCGTAGGAAAAGTATGTATCATGACGACCCAGCCCCCCTCGTCAGAACAAATTCAACTTTTTTATATCCACATCTTTTCTCTCCAGTGGCCCCGTTTCGCTCCATCTCAGGTAAAAGGCAACGTGGGGTCCACGTCTCTCTTCCACGCCCGCATGCCACCGTCAATGTCTCCAATGAATCTTTTGCCATTGTTGTCCAGCGCTAGATCTTTCAAACGCTTTGCCGCAAGCTGTGAGTCGTTGCCGACCCTGCAAACAAGGTAAATGGGCAAATCCTCTGGGAAATCCGACGGCAGCCACTCAGGTTGAGGCTGAACTCCCTCGCTGGAAGGCTGCGTCTCCTTCATGAACTTTGCAATCGGTACGCTTACAGCGCCATCAATGCTACAAATGTCAAAGTTTTCGCGCTCTCGAACGTCTAGCAAAAGATGTCGGCCACCTTTCTCCTTGTATACCCGCTCGTATTCGGTCGCAGAGACACGCTCCTCGGGAGCGAGTATGCTGACCGGCGCAGACACACCACAAAACGACACATAGTCCAGCGATCCCGATCGCAGAGTCTCAAGAGAAAGCGTCGACGCCGCAGAGCAAGCGAAGCAGTCCTTCCTCCGGCCCCGCATACGAACAGACCTAAACTGTCCCGACGTCGCCGCGCCCGAGAAGATGAGAAGCGAAGGCGCCGCCGCAGTCGCGCTCTTGTCCGTCACATCGGGATCGACCGCGCCCAAGGCAACGAGCTTGATCGCCTCGAGAGCCTGCAGGACGCCCATGACGCCAACCACGGGCCCGAGGATGCCGCCTTCGCCGCAGCTGACGACGCTGTCGGGTGGCGGCGGCTTGGGGAACACGCAGCGGTAGCATGGTCCTGCGCCTTCCAGAGTCCCCTGCGGCGCGGCGGGGGAGTTGAGGATGATGAGCTGGCCGTCTGTGCGAAAGGCCGAGGCGGAGACGAGGGGTTTCTGGAGGAGGACGCAGATGTCGGAGATAAGGTAGCGGGAGGTTGGGTGGTCGGTACAGTCGAGGACGAGGTCGTATTGGGAGACGATTTCTTCGGCGTTGGTTGGGGTTAGGTGTGTTTTGTGTGGATGGTATGTTACTAGGGGGTTGAGGCTGGGAGGGGTGGGTGAGTGTGAGCTTTCGTGGAGAATGTGGTTAGAGGAAGTGGGAGGGGAGGGGGTCTGCGTACCCCTTTAGGTATGTGATTGCGCTTTCGACCTTTGAGATTCCGACTCTGTCAGTCGAATGTGCGACTTGGCGGTGGAGGTTGGAGACTTCGACGACGTCGCCGTCGACGAGGCCGATGGTGCCGGCCCCTGCTCCGGCAATATAGGCCGCTGCGGGGCATCCCAGACCCCCGGCACCGATGATGAGGATCTTGGACTTTTTCAGTCTTATTTGTCCTAGGAGTCTCGTTTCAGTGGAGTTATTTCGCAAATGATGTGCCATTAATAAAGCTCACCTTTGACACCTACTTGGGGTATGATGAGCTGTCGTCCATATCTCTCATAATCCTCGGGTTGCAGGGGCCATTTCCAGGGTTGAGATGATGATGATGCTGAAGCATCCTCCTGTGCCTCTTTCTCTGCGCTGGCCAGCTGTTCCTTGAGGTTCCTAAGGTCGAGTTCAGCCTCTGCGACTTTGCGTCGCAGCTCTTCGACTTTGCCCATAATTGCGTCGGTCTGCGCGGTCTGCGGTGTAAGTGAGAATCGATGACTCCCCAAGCGCGGAATTTGTGAGCGGCGGGGCGGACCTGTATAAAATATCGGAGGTTCCGTCCCCGATCTCCGACCCCGCGATTCTGGAAGACCCACATCTCTGTCTTTTCGGCCCCACCACGAATTTTTGAAGCTTTGGGTCAAGTTGAGTACGTCCTCAAACTTCAGTACTTTGCATCCCACTTTGACCCAGATCCGACTTTTGAACTCGAGCCGTCTCAACCATACAGCTCTCCAGAACCTTCAGTACACATATCACTCAAGATGGTAATGCGATCTGATTCCTCCTCGTCGCCGCTCCCCAAACTAACGCCTCCAAGGCGCCCACAGCACCAACAAAAGCCCTCTCAGCCCGCGAAAAGCGCATGGCCCGCATCCGCGGCGACATCCACCCCCTTGCGCCGCACAAGACCCTCCGCCCCGAAGCCCAAGTCGACGACGGCTTCCTCACCAACAAAAAAGACAAGCGAACGATGAAACACAGCGCCTTCCTCAGCAAAGTCGCCAAGACGGCCCCCGGCAGCGGCAAGACCCTGAAGCGCCGGAGACCGAACAAGAAGCTCGTCGCGACCATGGAGTCGCTCGCCGACGCGCTGCCGGAGCTGGAGGAGGGCGCGCAGACGCTAGATCAGCTGCGCGAGGGGAAGGTCAGGCATAAGAGTCTCAAGAGCAGGCCGGGCGCGCTGAAGAGGAAGGAGAAGGTTGTGAAGGCTGAGGTGGCGAGGTTTGGGGCTAGTATGGCAGCATTGGCTTCCGTGCCAACTGCTGTGAATGCCAGCGGTGCTGGTGCTGGTGCGATGGCGGTTGAGGAGGCGGGATCGCACGAGACGACGACGAGTGCGACTTCGAGCCGGTGGGCTGCGCTGCGGAAGCACATTTCGAGCACGATGGAGCAGAACCCTGCCTTCAGCACATAAGCCTTGATGGTGGTATATTTACTACTATCACTGGCAGAGAGGGATCTTCGATGGACTTGATCACGACAGCGGCTGAGAGCATGGCACACCGGAGCATGATTTTTGCGTCTACGAAAGGGGTCTGAGACTTTTTCATGGTTCCGCAGCACACTTGGGATATATCCATGAGCAGACGGTCCATCTTTCAGAGGATTTCTGATGCTAGAGAATCGTTGGCTCCGAGCGAGACTTGACGAGGGAAGCCTTCCTTGAGACGTAAGGGAACCCCTAGAGGGTCCCATTTATTGGACGAAAAGTCGAGTGCGGTAATCCTGGATTGGGGATACAACTGGAAGCTGGCAAACAGTCTCGATGGCGCTCACTATTTTATTGCCTGGCGACCGCGATCGTGTCTACGACGTTTATAGAGTTGCCAAGGCCGGGAAACCTCTACAAGACGCGAACCGTGTCAAGTCAACGTTGTGGCGGAGAGTGTACACGGAACCGATGTCGTAGTTGAGCTGCGGTTGGTCCACCACTACTTTCCGATGTTCAGGCTGCAGACTGGGTACAGACTGAGAGCGTCTTGGAGGCACTGGAACGACATCAAATAGGATGGGCAGTATGAGGAACCGAGGAGGTCCAATTAAGTAGCCAGGGAGGATAGACCCCTAATGCACCCTGTGGATGGAATTTGTGTCTACCAAACATAAATTCGACGTGCTTCTTGGGTTTGCCTGATGAATATCATGCGTTGAAGATTTCGTTTGTCACCATGTGCGTTGTTTACTCTGGCAGGGATATCAGCCTAGCGTTTCAAGGATAGCAAATCAGAAAATATCCCAATGACGATCTTGTGAGCCGACGTCATTTTACCCAACGTCAAGGGTGCGAACGCGTTGTAATAAGATATTCTGTGTGGTCAAGATTAAAGAAAAGTAAACAAACAGATCGTCAGACTAAGGTGCGCAGGGTATCTCCAACGGTCTGGAGTGGTCTATAGGGGCGTTTTGTGGACTTCTTGGCAGGTTTGACGGAGGGGTGATGTCAGTTCAAGTCCAGGCATGGCGGTTCTAGACAACTTCATCGCCAATCAGTTAGTCTCTGGCGACATGGTTTGCTCAATCTGCACAAGATTCCAGCAATTTAGGTAGTGCATTTGTGAAGTTCTTCATGGTGTTAATTTGGGGTAGAGCGTGCAGGTGTGGTCTTTCCTCGTCATATTATGTGGTCGGCAACAGCGATCTACAGGAGGGGAAGGCTCGTTTGCCTAGGATGAACGTCACAAGGAAGGAACTGTGCAGCCGAGCAGGCAACAGCTGCACCTATTTCTTATTGAGCAGCTCCTTCCCTACCTTACTTAAGTACAAAGGTACTCGTCTTTTGCAGTTGATATAAAGATCCACGAAGCTCTCCTCTTAGCCTCGAATCGTCATTTCTATATCACACCCACGAACAATCACTTCCCATCTCAAGTCGAAACCACTACCATTTACACGAATTCCGTACCTCAAATCATCATCATGGCCGACACCAACCCCGGAAACTTTGCCAACCGGTATGTTTCTCAGTACCCTCCCCCAGCGTCTACATATCTCTTAGTTCTTAAGTAAGTGCTAACAGAGTAAAGTCCCACTAAGGAGGTCCGCGAGATCGCAGCCAAAGGCGGCCATGCCAGCCACGGCGGTGGCATCCCACAGGAGGTACCCAGCGGCAACACAAACCCTGGCAACTTTGCGAACCGGTACGTTATTTCTGCCGTGAGATATGTTGTCTTTTACTATTATGTATCTGATAATCTTCAATAGCCCCACGGAGGAGGTTCGCGAGATTGCGGCCAAGGGAGGTCACGCCAGCCACGGCGGCGGAATCGAGGCCGAGACCCACTCGGCCACCGGCAATACCAACCCCGGCAACTTCGCCAACCGGTAAGCTGGCTTCGTATGATCCTCCGGCATCCGGCTCCTTCACAAATCAAGCTTAACTCAACATTATGCCTCGCATGCGCTTGTATTGTATGGAAAGATTACTAACGCGACCGCAGACCCAAGGAGGAGGTTCAAGAGATCGCGGCCAAGGGTGGGCACGCAAGCCACACGGGCGGTTTCGCCAGCATGGACGCCGACAAGCTACGTGAGGTTGCTTCCGAGGGCGGCAAGGCGTCGTCCGGTTCGTTCGAGCCCGGCTCAGAGAGAGCGCGCGAGGCGGGACGCAAGGGAGGTCTTGCGGGTGGATCGGACTGAGATGTTTGTTATCGCAAGGTAGCAGCACTCAGAGCTCTACTCCCATGTTTATTTGAGCGCAACGACACAGGACAACAGGACGAAGCAACGATTGTACGATATCCGGAACACAAAAGGATGGAACATGAGACATGATTGATGGGCGAGAAAGATAGGATTGCCTCCATAACAGGGTCTACCCTGAGGAAATACCACAATTGAGATTCCAGGATTCTAGATGCCTGACCAACGACATTGCTGACTTGCTATTGCATTGCCCTGTCAGGCGTTTCGTCCCACTTCCGGGCCGTGAGCGGATGGCTCCGAGGTTTTGCGTGCTTTCGGCGCCTCCCTTTCCTCTCTCACTCTCTCGGACCCCCACCATATCAATCCCGGACGGTCGAAGAAGGTGGCAGGGTGGTGCAAAAACGCACGATTTTCAAAGTCAATTGTTCAAGACCCCCTTCGGCATTTTCCAACCAGATTGATCCTACCTATCTTGCTCCAGGATGAGTGTGCTACGAGAGAGAGTGCAGCAGCTGAGATGCATTGAATCCATGAGTCCTTCCTCTCCCAGACCGAATCGACCCTTTGGCTAGGCCATTCTCCACCGGCACCCCATGTCCGTTCACCAGCCCTGCGGGTGGGTTGCTTAGGCTGGTTGATCAACTTGGCGCTCTGGGTCGGGGCCCTTGGGAGGAGCAAGCCACGTTCGGCAGACGCCGATGCAGGTGACGAGCGTTTTCCTTTCCTCCTCCCCCGCCTGCGCTTTTCCACCTCTTGATGGATCGACGTACCCGAGTACTGCGGATTGAGGGTCCACTGCACCAGTGATGGACTTGGCTTCGTCACTGAAGCCGCGAGCGTTTTCGTGCGACTCGATCTGTTGGCGGAAGTACGTTCTCTACGGTAAAGATTTTGGGCTAGGCAAAAAAGTAGCGAGCGGCTTGTTCTAGTCCCAGGCGGGAATGGCTAGACCCGGCTGATGACATTGGGTGCCTTTTTCCTTTCCGTGACTTTCGTCCCAAAAGGGTTTGCGGCGGGAAGTGCGCCAGGTGGGTGGTATCGCAGATTCAGCAGCATCATGATGCCGCAGCACGGTGACGTAGACGAGGTGAAACTTGGCTGCCCTTTTTCTTCTCCGTCGCTCACCCCTAGCGTCTTGCTTTGAATTGAGACCACGAGAAGATGGAGAGATGATCGAATTAGAGACTCAGTACCAAGCAATTATCTCACCTCCAGTTCAGTTTACCTTGTTCAATGAAGGATACCCAATAGTGAGGAGGAGGGGAAAGGGGGAGGGTCTGTAAGTGAGACTTGACTGTGAGAGAGAAAAGGTTTTCTCAGTTAGAGGCTCAGCCATGGCTCCCACTCCCTCTTCCTTCTCCAATGGTGACTCCTCCCTTCACCGTCTCAATTCATTCGTCACAAGCAGGCAGGCAGAGGGGATGTTTCTTTGGCGAGGATCCCATACAGAATCGGGATGCAGCGGCAATACGTAGAGTTTCTCCATACCTACTCCAGGTCTCGGGGCCCTTTCTTTTTTCTCCTCGCGTACCTTACCTTTACCTTGATTACCGCCCATCCCTGTCTTTTAGGTAGGTACTGAGGTAAGGTAGGGTAAGGTAGGTCTTGAAGATGATCGGCCATCGAGACTAGCACGTTTCGTTTTTTGTTCCCTTGGGACGCATGTTAAAGTCGTGTGTTCCCCCCTCGCCCACGCTGCCACGCAAGTGTTATGGTCTTTTTGAAGCAAACACTTTTTTGACTCCTTGCTATACCCCTTCCCACCGACTGTGCTGTGCAGCTTTTGCATCCTCACCAAAAACACCTTTTGCGAGGATCTCCCGATACCCCCAGTCCCTGGTACTCCCTCGGACTCGGCCGGTGCTTCACCTTTATACGATGGCCGCGGCAGTTGATGTTCAAACAGCAGCAGGTGTACCGCATACGGGTATCAGCCGGTTAAGCAATTCAAGGTACGATTAGGCCTTTCTTCCTCTCACTTCCAGTTTCTCAGTCCTATATCCTCTGCCTGCTTATTCAAACGAGAACATGGCGGGAACATCATCATCGTCATCCCTTGGGTTCTGGAGGGTGCGCCGGAGGCACCATGGGAGAGTGGAGACGCTCTTCCGAATCAGGTTAAGCTCGGAATAGTGGCCCTAGCTCCTCGGCTCCCCCACAAGTGTGGCTTGTCGGCACCTCGTCACCTCGTCACCTCGCATTTTTCGTCTCTTTTTCCTCCCATCATGGTGCTGCGCCACTCCTGGGCCACGTCTCCCCCCGTCGTCACTCGTCGTTCAAGCCTCATCTCTTCCCTCTCCACCCTCTGATTCTCAGAGAGTCAGCACCTCTTCGCCTCTCTCATCCGAGCTGCACTGCACACACTGCCCGCTGCATGCACGGAACCAGCCCAACTCTAGTGCACCTAAGGTACCCAGCCAGCCCAGTCAGCCCCGTTCATCGTCTTTTCTCCCCGTTCGCTTCCCCACCGTCGTCCATAGCGAACCTACGCTCCGCTCCGTCTGCAACCTGTGACCAGGAGGATCCTGAAGTTTCCCACCGCCCACGCAGAAACAACAGAGACCCTCGTCCCTCCTCCCCCCCCCCCCCGCTCATCAATCCCGAGCGAGAAAAAAAAAAGGAGCGGATGCGAAAAAGGGCCCTGAATTATTTTTTTGATTTCATTTCTTAGCCTTGGCTAATTAACCCCCCTCGTCCTCCATTCTCTCTTCCCACTCTACTCCCGATTGATCCTATTCTCGGAACCCTTCTCTCTCCGTCCTTGTTCACAATCTTCCTTCTATCCCTACGGAGTACTCTGTACCGGTTCCTCAAGTTCCCTACCACACACCTACCTTACCCCAAAGTCTTTCCTGGAAAAGATCGTCGCTCTTCTCGAACCGAACCAAAGCACCCCCCCTCTGACGCAACTCTCCGCGAAAAACAGCCGCTTCTTACCCTTCCGCTCCTCTCGCAACCGACAACCATCGCCGCCCCGAGCGATCAACTCCTCCCGCTCCGGCTCGACCTCGACGACGTCTTCGATATCCTCTACCGCATCGGCTTCAGAAGCATCACCACCAGCATCCCTCCAGCTTTCCCCCTCGACCTCCCCGACGAGCAGTACAAAGTCCGGCCACAGGTCCGAGTCGCGCCTGAGCATGCCTTTCAGGAAGATGGCCCGTCACTTTGGTGACACTGTAAGATCTTTCTTCTTGCAACCTCCTGCTCCTTCCCGTCTTTGTCCTTGGACCTGGCCAAGCTTGCTCTCACCTCGCCGTCGCCGCCGCCGCAGCAGCAGCACTGGGAAGTGCGACCTGATGAGGTCACAATCTTTCATCATCTCCTGCACTCCAGGTCGGACGACAGCCGCAGACGGGCAAGCACATGCCCATCTCGTCTCGTCGCTGCTGGTCCCAAGTGCCGTCGGTGGTGAGGCTGGCAACGGCGGGGTAGTATGAGAGGGGCGGCCGTCCTGTTTCAGCGCAAGCGCCAGTGAACTGACCCGAATCGCGTCCTAGCTCTCCCCGCAGCAACCTTACTTGTCGTGTAAGTCGCACTCCTCCTTGCTCCCAATGAAACGCCGCACCTCCCGCGGTGTTATCCTACCATCCCGTGATGATCATGGCCCCGGCTGACAGCTTCTTTTGGACGATGCAGATCACGATATTCTCCGTATGTTAAACCCTCTGATGGATGACGAGGTGCCGGGACTCTACCGAGTCCGCAGGTTCCGGCTACTTGAACCTCCGATTTAGCACACGGGAACCATTTGGGCTTACTCGTGTTGATTGCAGTCACCTACGAAGACATCAAGTCGCTCAAGAACGACTGGTTGACAGACAACGTACGGCACACCTCCTACCCTGCGCTTGCTCCTACCTGGCTAACAATTTCACAGAACATTGCTTTCTGGGAAGAGTGAGTCCCAACCACTTACAGTTTGACGATAACCACCTATTCTGAACCCTCCTAACAACTGCCAACTGCAGATGGCTGGAACGCGAAGTCCTCCCCAAGTACCCTCAAGCCCGCATCATCCTGCTTCGGCCCTCAATGACCTTCCTCCTCATGAAGGAGCCCGACATGCGCCAGATCCGCTCCGCCCTCCCCGACTTCTCCAAAGTAACACACATCTTCCTCCCCATCAATGACGCCCGCAACGTCGCCCAGGCCGAGGGCGGCTCCCACTGGTCCCTGCTGCTCGTCAGCGCCATCGACGGCGTCGCCTTCCACTACGACTCCCTCGGCGGCGCAAACTACGCAGAAGGCCGCCTCGCCACCCACAAGATGTCCGAGATCCTCGGCCGCCCACTCCGCTATCTCAACCTCGACGACTCTCCCCAGCAGGAGAACGGCAGCGACTGCGGCGTGTTTGTGTGTATCCTAATGCGCCACCTGCTCATCAAGCGCCTCCTCAGCGCCAACGCTCGCGAAAAGGTCAGCATGAGCATGGCCAACAAGCTGATTGACAGCCACGGCGGACGTAAAGAGATGCTCAAAATTATCGAGAGCTTGCGCAAGGAGGGCGAGCGGAGGAGATCGTAAGCGCTAATCCCTCAAATTACCCCCTCCACTGAATTTGGTCTTTGTCTTTTTTGGTCTCTGCGGCATGTGGATGATGGCAGTACTATCATCCTCCTTACTGTACCTGTACTCTCCAATCTTTGAAGCGTCAAAACCGTAAACTTGTCTTGAGGGTTCCCTGACACCCCTTCTTTCAAAAAGGAGAAGCGCATCACCGTACTCGTCAAAGACGCCGCCACGGATCGAGTAGTCAACCAAAGGCAACCTTCCGTACCTTACCCCTACAAAACTCGAACGAAAGAACGACAACGAGACCGTGATTCAGCACAGTCACATCCTTGTCGACGACTTTATTTAAATGTTTCGATATACGATATCCACGAACGCATGCACTAGTGTATTTTATTCAACCACATGAGAAAGGGGGCAGAGGAATGTAAGCATTTGGTAGTGGAAGACGGGAGTGACGAGCGGAAACCGACGCGTCCGAGGAATCTCATCGAGCCGACTCCATCCGCCGAGATACGAAACGACGATTCAGCGACGACCAGAGGTTGTGGGCAAGATGAGGCACTGTGAGATGATGGACGTAGAAGGCCGACGCTGCGGGCCATTCTGGCGGGGCCACGTTGGAGTAGAAAGTTCAAGACGGATTGCCGTAGTAGAGGAGCAAGAGAGGGGTCCAAATCAAGACAATGCAAAGGCGAGGCGTTTTTGGCGTCCCAAGGTCGGACGATTAGCTAGGAGAGATACATTTGATCTTATTCCCATTCATCCTCATCCGCGGCATTCTTTGTAAGGTATGTTGGATTGCTTTGATGCATCGTGCATGCATTGCCGCGAACTCTCGACGAGCATCACCTCATCATGCCTTCGTCAAAATTACGCGTTTCGCTTGGGACCTGAAACTCATGTAAACGGAATTAGCTGTATCACGCTAGTTAGGAATCCTTCTCCAAACCATCTGTGAACTGGACCATCAATCTATCGCTCTGCGCTCACCAACCAAAGCCCAATAGACCATCCACAAGATGGCAAAAAAGTCGTCATCCCGACGTGCAACCGCAAGATCCCTGGCCGCATTCTTCCCCATTCCTATCCACTCCCGTTACCAAAAGGGGCCATCATCCTTACGAGACTTCTTGATGCTCGCTTCGCGCTTGTCTTGCGCAACCCGGGCTGCCAGCTTGTTGAATCCTGCCTTTGTGATTCCGTGCAGGGCTACACCTCTGCTCATGACCGACGGAGCGACGGACGAAGGAGCATGGTTGATCTCCTGAAGGCGCTGACGGAATGCCAAAGACGTAGTCGGTACATTGGTGTTCGGGATCGACGGAGCGTCTAGAAGAGACGGGACTCCCAGTCCAGTGTTACCGCCGACGCGGTCGTACTCGGTGCCGGCAATTGGCAATACGGCAGTGACGGGAACTGATCGATCGTTGCCCCTCATACCAATGGACTCCGCGAAAAGCTTGGCCGAGAGGTTGGAGCGGCGAGCGGCCGATCCGTCATTCAGAGACTGCTCTGCGTCTCCGTCAACGCCGCCGTCGTCAACGATGATTTGCTGTTGCTGTTGACGCCTTGGTTAGCGTCATGGTCTTGCTCATGTTGCTTCTTGTTCTTGGTCCGAAGATAGGCATTCACCTTCCGTTGATCAATCGCGCCAGTGCTCTGGTATATCAAATCCGCAGTCTGCTGGGTATAAGGGTCAGTGCTGTCGATATTATAGTGCAGCCATTCCTTTTGCGACTGCTCCGTGGTGTAGGCCCAGCCAGCAGAATACCACATTTGAAAGGCACCTGATTTGGAATCTTTGCGGTGACGAACCTTTTTTCTCTGATCAGGATCATAAGCCATGTACTCAACGGCCTCGTCCCAGTTTGCGCCTTTCTCCCAAGCAATGGGCTTCTGTCTCTCTCGGAATGCATCGAGCTCTGCCTCTTCCTCCGGATCATTTGAGTGGGCATTCGCAAGCCATGCCTCTTGATAGCGCTGATCCTCGGCTTCAGCCTCTTCTTTGGTCTGAAAGCCGCGGGCGTTCTCTGCGGAGATGGCATCGGTATTGAACGAGCGGGATGTAGGGAGGTGGAGAATCTGGAGAAGATCATCGAGCGAGGCATCGCACGGGTCCGGGCAGAAGATGACATCGTGCTTCTCGGGTGATCCGCTATAAAGAGGGGATCCAATGATACACTTACGAACAAGCACAGCTGACTCAATGCTGGAGAATGAGATCTGAAAGCTTTTCTCGTCGGCGTACGCAAAGTGCGTGATGACTTCAGCGAAGGTGGACGACAGCCCAACTCTCTTGAGAACCATGTGCAGATCCTTGACGGGGAATCCCGTGACGGCCAGGCATCGAGTATTTCCCTCGCGAATCATGGTGAGAATTGAGTCCTTGAGGGGAAATGAGTCCGTGTTGGGCATGCTGATGCGGACTTGAACTGATTTACCATCAGCCGTGGTGAATCCGATTTCGCGACCGCGGTCCAGGCTGTATTGGAAAAACGCCTTAGCATCCTCCGGAGAGGTGAACTCAATGTACGCATGGTTGAAACGATTATCACTAGTTCCCATCGGCATCGCGTGGGCTTTGAGAATTCGACCGCCTCGGATGTGCTCAAGGATGCGCTGGACGTGAACCTCATCGGGAAGTCCAGTCATGATGATCGTCCTGGAAGACACATCTGATACGCCATTGTCGGCGGTTAGCTTCTGACCAGCCCCATCGCGTATATATCGAAGGCCGTATTTCAACATACCCGGCACCGCTGAAGGGTGACGACTTCCAACGGTACGCTGGTGCGTCTGCAGCGCGCGCTCCTTCTGAAATGGACTGTCCCAGATGTTATCGCTGCCATCACTCCAGTCGAGCCCAGTCACGATGTCGGCCGTGCGAGTTGCAGTCTCTGTATTCTGGTTGTCAAGGTGTTGATTGAGGGGATCAGGATGCAGCTTTTCAGCCAAAGCGTCGGGCGTGGCGAGGACTCCCTTGAAGGTGGAGGGGAACTCGGGCTTCGGAAAAGTTGCCTGGTTGGCTCGATCAACGTTCTGGGGCTTGGAAGGTATCTGGAGAGCTGGAAAATGGTCCTCAAATGATACCAAAGGCTCGTCATTGATGCCAAAAACCGTCGGGAGACCAGGCTTCGTGGTTGTGCCGTCATCAGGAGAGACTCCAATGACTGCGAAAGCTTCTGTAACCTCTGGGTGATCAGTGATAAAGGAGCGCATGAAGGCCTCGTACATTTTGGCCCGCTCAACAGCGTTGAGAAGGCAGTTCTGCATGGCCTGGAGCTGAGCAACGAGAGGTGCATTGTTTGCGACCGCTCCGGCATACTTCGCCTTGTATTCTGTGAGCTGCTCTTGACTATGGTCGAGATCGTCTTGGAGTCTGCTCAGTACTTCTTGATCCTTGCTGCTTCGCTCATTCTGTTCGACAGAGTAAGTCTGCGCTCTGCATCGGAGAAGATTGGCCTCCTTGATATCTTCCCTGAGCTTGGCGATTGTGTCCTGGTCCAAGTTCGCTTGATGCCTTAGCGATTCGTTGACGTATTCGAGGCTCTCATTTTCGCTTTTGAGGGCTTCGTGATCGGCCTCGAGCCGGCTGAGGCGAGACTTCATGGCGAAAAGGCCAACTCCCGCGTCCAAACTTTGGCGAGCATCTGAGTAGGACGAGAATGACTGCTTTGACGACAAATTGTCTCGGTTCGTGCTGCTGGGGGTAAACTCGGCTGAGGATGGGTTCAGTGGCTTGTGACCAGAAACGAATGGCTCGATCGGGGAAGGTTTGTTCTCACGAGGCGGAATCGCGGTCTCTTGGGAATCGCCCTGCTTAATGACAGCGACACTTGTAATCGTCTGGGCGTGATTGGTGTCAGAGACAGTAGCTTCCAGATCCTTGGGGTCATCGAAGTCGTCGCCAAAATCAATGAGCTTCTCCGAGTTTGACTGGGAAAGGATCGGACGAGCAGGGGCGGGTGGGCTTCCGGCGTCGCTTTTGTCATCATTAAAGCCATCGTCAGTCGACGCGTAGATGCTCTCATCACCGTCATTGTTGTTCTCTTGCTTGATGACACGGCCGGGGAAACGGGGGTCGTATTTGTCAACCATTTTGGCCGCCGTTGTGTTGTGCTGCTGGTGGAAGAAGTCCAGAGGGTCTATCGAGACGTAGGAGCTTTCGGCTGATTCTGTGGGAAAACTGTAAATGAATGGTGTTAACGAATGGACCGACGATGCTTCTCTTGAAGAGAGAGAAATGCGAGATATGAATGATGAAGATGATGCGGGAGTAAAGATAGGAATCACTGGCTGAAATCGATTCTTATAGCGATTGGATTGGAAATGACGATTTAAAGTACCGCTTACTCTGCCAACCTTTGACGGTTGGGTCCTCGAGAGTGGTGATGTAGAAGGGGAAAGACGAAGGGCGAAATCAGAATGTGGAGGGAGGAACTCTTGGAGCCCCCGTGTTTTTCATTCCGGGAAAGGCAAGAGCGGCTGTTGACGCGGGCGGAAAGCGCCATTCGTAAGATGCTGTAACCAAGGCAGGTGTGCAGGAGGGTCGGGAAGTAGGGGCAGGTTCTTGGGGCGGTGAGCAAGCAGTGCTGAAACATATCACGACTTACCTAGCTGAGTCTGAAGTTGCTTGAGCTATCTTGACTCAAAGAGACCAAGAGTTGCAGTAGGCCGAGAAATCACCGCGAGGGGATTCTTTGCATTCAGCGTTGCTGCTACCTGTTTTTGAGGTAGACGATATTGGTGAATGATCTAAATGATCTTGTTTCGTTGTCGATAACTGGCTTATAGAAGGCTTGTTCTATAAGAGCCAAGGCGCGCCGATGCTGACGTCAAGAACGCCGAAAAGCAAGGCGAAATCTCCGTCTCTATGTCTATGCTGCTGTGTTGTTGTCCGGTTGCTCTATAGAATCGAGGCCAAGACTCGGAAGCAGACTTGTTCGGGAGATGAAAAGATTGTTGCTTCAGGTGGAGGACTGTAGACGACCTGAGATATGTTAATGATG